CCGTATACGGCTTTGTGCGTTATTTCGTTTTCAGCTCTGTTGACTTTCCTATACCCGCAAGGTGATTTGAATTCTTAGAGCAAATTAAAACTATAATGAGAGTTACTTATATTCTTTTCAGGACGCATTTCGCTCTCGTCGGATGATGAGAAGTAACTATCTACTCTTATTCTATTACGTTCTAAAGAAAAGTCGTGCATGCGGCACTGTCTTCGGTGTCGAGCTGACTCGTAAGATAAGGGTATCGTGAGTCATCATTACTAAATACAGAAAAAATTGCTATTTTTTTTAAACAAATGAGAATCTTTGTTTTAATTACTGAGACGAACTGTCATATACAATAGTTGTCGAGGGCTTGATTCAAGATTTATAATGGTGATCTCTCCATTGATCTTTAAGAAAAGTCGTATTTGTCCTATGTTGTTTTATTTTCTTCTTTTTCAAAGGAGCAACAGAGTCTAATTGTAATTCGCGGCGCATCTGTAGGCACTATCAACAACATGATCTAATTTGGGGTGGTGTACATTTTGTATAAGTTTCCTCCCTTAGATGCAGACATGCTATCGAGTTAAGTATTGAATCTCTTCCTTAAATTTGGCCATAGCACTAACAGATTTGTAGTCTAGTAACAGTACTTCAAAAGTTACTAAGAAATGGTCGGATAAAGCAGGATTATGCGGTTCGACTAATAGTTGCTCAATTTCAATACCATAAGTCAGAACAAGGTCGAGAGTGTGATTATAGCAGTGGGTTGGTTTATTTACACTCTGACGAAAACCAACAGAATCTAATATAGAGTTAAATGCAACAGTAAGGCATATATCAATATTATAATCTGATATTAAATCATTTACCAATATTGCTTTAGATGCTAGAGATCTTATGTTTAAGAGACCACATTTAATCTTCCTGTTTTGTTGCACTGTAGTAGTTGTTACATTTACTTTTATTAGGTTATTATGTATGACACCTCTATTAGGTTTTACCTTAAATTGTCCTTGGGAGACACACACACCGTTAATATTGGGTATTTTATTGGGTTCGGGATTCCTATGGATGACTGCCTAGGAGAGAGCGCAGAGAAGCGTGTAAGACTGCGACTCTGCCTCCTGGTCTCAAATTGTGGTTCAAATGGTGGGCTTTTGAACTTCTGTGCTTTTAGTACAGTACAAGACGGGGTTCTTGACCCAGGTGAAAGCTATATCGACCATTGACTTTTTTTACTTTGACTTTTTAACTTACGTTGGTGATTTAATTTATCTAACAAACTTATCCAAAAACCATGATCTTTTCTTTCACCTAACCAAGAAGTAGTGCTGCCCTAACGTAAGTAAAGTGTATTGGAATCAGAACAGAGTGCCCTCAATGACAGAGGTAAAGCTTAAAATATGTAAGATGCCAAGTGGTAAGATAATTATGCGTCTTCCCATGCGATCAAATATACTATACAGGGGTTAAATTAGCAACCAAACTAGGCACGCAATGTTTGTTCCAGGCTGGCAAAAATGTCCCTGCTGTATGGATGCTGGTTCTGGGTGCTAAACGAGTTTCATTAAACACTATAGCAGCCCTAATATGCTCTGTATAAGATATGGGGAATTACACTCCAACAACCTGAGCTAACCTGATATAGCAATACATTTGCCAGATATGAAAAAAATAGTTTCCGTTGGTGACTTTTTGCCTTATTCTTTTTCAGCACAATATAAAGCAGGTGGATATTGTAGGAATACCTCTACAGTACTCTCATTAAATGTTAAAAAGCTAGCACGTCTTAAACCAACTTGTGGTGATAACATTGGCTTGATCAGATAGCTTGAATGTGAACAGCTTAACCACAGTTACCACAATATTGACATTAAGTTACTGAATAGTACAAAGATATTTGAGGATAAAACACAACATCCAACTTATATTTCTTCCTTTACACTCAGCAGCACCTACTTTGGCCATCTGCCTCTCTCCTTTGGCTGTGTTGCTGCTTTATGCTGTTGACTCTATTGTTCCTCTCTCCTT